AAATGCTGAGCATATCTGGCAAGAACACCATAGGCATTATGCCTAAGCATGTACTCTGTACCAAGCATGATAAACAGAACCTTATCAGCATCACCCTGCATGGCGTAAAAAAAACCCTATGAGAAAATGAGCATTTGTTGTATATTTAACATATTCCAGGCATTAAGCATTTTTCATTTAATTTTGTCTCCACCACTAGAATGTAAGCTGTATGAGAGAGAACTTATAGCTCTTGTGTACCACTGCACATGCCTGGAATATAGTGGGAACATTAGTTAATATTTATCAAATGAAACATTATTCTAGATGGAGGTTGAATAACTTCCCAAGGTAGAGCTAAGTTTTAACAAATATTTGTTGGATAATAAATATTTGTTGGAAAAAAAAGGAGTGTTACATTCCCATTTTAGAGAAGAGGAACAGCAGGTGGCAGAGGAGAGATCTGGCTCAGGATTCCCTGATGCCTGGGCTTGGACCCTTTCCACAGCCACAATGTGGGGCCTCACCTCATATACCATCTGACTGTGTTTGAAGCCTCATAAGGATTTGATGACCCTGATTACACCATAACATGCAAAAACCCAGGCTACTCTGAGAAAGATCTAATTCTCGATCAGATTGTGAAGCTCTAATAACATGATTCTAAATTTTTGTCTTCATAAAATGCATGACCTCAAAGTATTCATTTCATCTAACTTACCCAAGGTCACACAGACTGTAAGAGAAGAAAACAAGATGCGAACCCAGTCTTCCCACACCATTGCCCCTTTTGTTTCCCTGCTCAGGGGTTCTTGATCTGGGGCACAAGGACTCTTTAGGAGATCTCTAGATGTACTTTACGGTACCTTCTTCCCCCAACATTATCTGCTAAGTAGTATGTCCTTAGGAGCAGGTGCATTTTGTGGGGAAAGTGTTCATAGCTTTCATTATATTATTTTTTAAATATTTTGTTTTTTCTTAGAGAGAGAGGAAGGAAGAGAGAAAAAGAGAAACATCCATTGGCTGCCTCTCGTGCCCCCAGGACCCGGCCTGCAACCCAGGCATGTGCCCTGACCAGGAATTAAACCAGTTACCTTTTAGGCCGGTGCTCAGTCCGCTGAGCCACACCAACCAGGTCCTTTCATTATATTCTTAAAGGTGCCTATGATTTAAAAAAAAAAAAAAGTTACTTTTATCATATATATCTATTTTTTAAACTTTTATTTTTAAAACTGTCTTTAGATGAGTAGAAGGGAGAAAAAGGAAGGAAGAAATGTGTGGGGTGCAGATGCCAATTTTTGTTTCTCGTTCCTATTCATTCATTCACTCACTCACTGACTCAGCAAATCTTTGTTGAGCACCTGCTACGTTCCGGGCATCATTCCAGAATCTGGGAATGCTGCAGTGGGGCAAACTCTTGGTATCAGAGTTTATATGCTATTAAGGGAGACAGACAAAATAATAATGCTGATAACGATTTTGTCAGGTGCCATGAAAAAAAACGGGGTCAGAGGATGGGGAAGAGGGGGACTGGCATTTTAGATATGTGCTGTCCACAGACTCCCACAAAGGGCACGATTCCGGATGCCAGGGTACCATCTGTAACCTTTTTGCGCTTAGCTTCACCAGGGTGGGGACGGTAGGGAGGGAGTAGTTCACACGAAGGCGCAGAACATATGCTCCCTTCCACTCCCGAGCTCGGAGTTTTTTGACAAGCCCCTGATCGGCAGGGAGGAGAGTGCGCAGGTTTCTCGGGTTAAAAGGTATCGCCCAATAAAAACTTCCTTGAGGTTGGAGTCCCGCCTCCACAGCTTCTCCTTCTGCTTCCGCTTCCGGCGTTGAGGAAGTCTTGATCAAAAATGGCGGCGGCGACTGGGTCCAAGGTATCTGGGCTGCTAGGTCGTTTCCGGCCACAGCTGGCTCGGTCTATAGCGAGTGGTGCCCACGGCGAGGAGGGCTCAGGTACTGGGGCTGTGGTCGGTGGGGCGGGCCTCAGTCCAATTGCAGCGAGGCGGTGCGGGGCTGTGACCTTGGCTTGAGGCTTAGGGGGAGGGGAATGAGACCCAGGCTGGCCCCACTGCACGCCCGACCGTCTTGCCGCTCCGCAGCTCGCATGTGGAAGGCCCTCACCTACTTCGTTGCGCTCCCCGGGGTGGGAGTAAGCATGCTGAACGTCTTTCTGAGGTCGCACCACGGAGAGCACGAGAGACCCGAGTTCGTCGCCTACCCCCATCTCCGCATCAGGTCCAAGGTACGCCCTTGCATTCTCTTGGAGTGTTCCTTCTCCTTTCATTCCAAATGCCCTCGCCCAGGTTCTTAATTCTCTAAAAGTATGGATTCCGGGCTTGTACAGTTCTCACTTAATAATCACAAATCTTTATTTTCTCCGGTTTTACCTAACAGAACCTGAGGACGGGGCGGGGAATGTTTGTCGCTTCTCGGTTTCTTCTTTAAAAGTCATAAAATTAGTGCATTTGAGTTGTTTTTTCTGATTCATGCCACCTTCTGCCTTCTGATACTGTTCTGAAATAACTGTCAGTTGTATAAAACTTGGAGGTTTGGGAAACTTCCTTAGAGTGGCAAAGTCGAACGTGGTTCACCTTAGGATCTGGGTACCTGGCAGGTACGAGCTGCGTCATGGAGAGACCGACACTGTTCTATTCTCCTTTAGCCTATATATCTTCTCAACTATTTTATCCTTTGGCTGTTGACATAGTTATATTATGTTTTCCATTGTTTGCTGTATTTTTAACAAGAGCCCCTTCTGGTTCTTTAAAAACTATTACATTACTTAGTCCAGGTAGTACTGGCCTCATAGAAACTTAGGCTAGATTCTTAGATTCAAAAAGAATTAGAGTCTTTGAGCCCCACTTCCACCCATGTACAGCAGCATTAGAAGTCATAAAACAAGGTTTCTTAACCTCAGTACTATTGACATTTGGAGCTGGGTAATTCTTGTGGGGACAGGCTGTTTTATTCTGCCAGTTGTAGCATGTTTAGTGGCATCCTTGACCTCTACCCACTAGATGCCAGTAGTACCCCACCCTGCCCCAGATGTCTCCAGATACTCCCCAGTGTCCCTGGAACGGCAAAGCCATCCTGGGTTAGAAACCACAGCCCAAGGGCAATGCTTTCCAAAGGGAGCATGTAAGTATCTTCTCCCCAGCAACCAGCCTCTGTCATTCTGATACAGGTGAATGAGGATTACACTTTCATAAACATAGCACTGATTAACCAGTTATCAGGGAGGGGCTTATGAAAACAAACTTGAGCTTGCTTTTCCTATTATCTACTTTAAGGGCTCCCTTGGAAGTTGTAAGAGCACCCTTAAATTAAGGTAAGGCTGAAATATGCCAGTAGTTAAAATACTTAATTTCCATTTTATGAATTATCTGATGCTTACCCTATTTTCATGGCAGTTCATGGCAGTGTTATCTCTGAACTATATTCTGGAATGTCCTAACTGACATCTTCACTCCACAGCCCTTTCCCTGGGGAGATGGCAACCATACTCTATTCCATAACCCTCATGTGAATCCACTTCCAACCGGCTATGAAGATGAATAAAGAGAACCCGGACCACTACCTACTGGGGACCACAGCACTGGTTTGGACCATTACTCTGCACATGGACCAGAAACGTGTATGGGACCTTAAGCTGACCTTCTTTCCTAATATTAAATGATGATTGAAGTGTACTAATCTTCCGTCTCTTTGCTAATAGCAGGAGATGGCTTAAATAAATAATTTAAGATTGGCCATGAGCTGAGAGTTGCATTCTTTGGTGGTATTTTTTTCCCTTAGAAATTAGCATTAATGTTATTTCTGTTTGTGCAGTGAGGGTGTGTGGCTGCATTCACAGTTTTCAAATCCAATTCAGGCCTCTGAATAACAGGACCTGTCCTTGGTTTCTTGTGCCTGGGGTGCTAATTATCAAGATTGGGTCCTGACAGACACCGAGTGGCCAGCAATTTCATCTAAAAGAGGTATCTGCAATTCTCGAGAAGTGCTTCCTCTGTATCTCAGCTTTCTCCTATCCCATTCTGTCAGCATTTGCTGCAGAACATTCCCTGTAGTCAGATCATTTTCTCACCTTGGAGGTTGGAAAGGTCAAAAACCTTTGGCGAAATAAAGGCATTATCTTTGAAGTAGCTCAGATAATTGGAGGATGAAGTCAAAATAAACATGAGGAAGAATAAACCAAAATTATTCTCAGTAGCAATTACAATAAAAGAACTTGGTTGGCTTGGAGCTGATTTTGAATTCTCAAGGCTCAGCCAGACAGTTCTTTGATAAGATTCAAGAAGCTACAAGGTTTTGGTGTTACTAGCACATACAGAAAACTGGTACTGCGCAGAAGTGAGACACACAGAGACATAGGGTGTGAAAACCATTTACAGTGAAGAAAAAAGAATGCCTGTTCTCTTTGCCATTTCATGACCTAACCACAGCCTGTGCTCCCCATAGAGCTGTTGGGCCTGGGGCCAGTCTGAATTCAGGACAGGTGTCCTCATCGTCCTGTGGCTTGCCGTCTTGCCTCCCTCAGCTGGGTTCCAAGTAATCTCTGATAATCCTTGTAGAATGGACCTTGAACAGTCAAAATATAAATGCAGAATGTTTTGAAATGACATTAGGGACTGGTTATATTTATCATGAAACAGCAACTGGTGAAGAATAATAGAATTGAGGCTTTCTTTAAATCAAGTTTCATACTGTTGGACCAAATTAATCAAGATAAGCAGTTGCGGGAACTATATGACATTCTAAAATGTGTAAGTGCTCACCGAATCCTGACTTTTTTGTCATTTTACAAACATTTTGAGATATTTGTGTAGCCTACTGCAGAAATAAATTTTAGAAGTCAGTGAGGTTTCTAATTGTTATACCATACTACCTAGCTTAGATAAATCATAACTTTTTCACCTTTAAATTATAAAACTAAACTCCAGTGTATCTATGGGATATGCAGGGTAATGGGGTAATAGTTCCATAAAGTACATCAAGTTCCAAGGGGCAAATAATAATAGAAACTAAATGTTATAATTTATTCCATCTTCATGATTAGACATTACAGGGCAGGGTGGGTAAACAAGGCAAATAAAACATCTCCTTTTTCCTCCTATTTAACCACATACAACATTTTGGCATCTTCACAATGTACAGGTTGACTTAAGTAATTCATTTGCTTAGGCTGAAAGCTGGCAACAGCAAATCTCTGCAATTTAGGATCTTCCTCCATAGCATATTCCAGTGATTTCAATGACTGAACTATACTCTGAGTTCTGAAATGGTATTCACTCTGACATTCTTGAAGCTTTCATGCCTTGATCTGAGATCTTGACACCTCTTGTTAAGGCAGGGATCTGTTAAAGGCTTCTCTTTGTTAACTCAGTCCACCAGCAATCTTAACCGTTGTTAAATTACTATAGAAAAATAAAACTGCTCCCAAGCATTGATTGAAACTGTTGAGCTGGGACCCCTTTTCAGAGAATTAGCTCCCGGAGAGAATAGAGGTCCTAACCAACTACTTCCACGAACAATGACCCCAGTACAGTATACGTAGTGTCCTTTGAAGTGTAACTCAAGAGGTCAGGCAACCATGATCATCCTGACAAGTTTATCAGTATTTACATACAAGGTATATTTAAAGCTGATCCCAGATGAAGTACTGCAACCATAATCTCCCAAAGTCATTCAGTTTTAGCACAGCGAGTTCCTTCCGGCAAGATGCCAGCAGCAAGTGAGAAATCTTTCCAAAGTAAAAAGTGATGGTTCATCAGTTACAAGCGGAAGGAAACCAGCTAGAAGGAGGAAAAATATAATCTCCCTAAACTCCTCATTAAATTGAGGGCTATCTTCACAGCCTTAACACAATCCGTAGTGCTCAGTTGCCTGATTTGAGGAGTCCATTTTCAAGGTGACTGTCAAGGTCAAGAAGAGCTTTCAGGCTTTTCTCTACCATGGCCCATGAACTCCAGTCCTTCAATGGGGATCTCCTTCTCCTTTATTGCTTTCTGATGGGAGGAGAAAAATATTATAAGGGTCAATATGAAACTTACTGGCTTTGAGCAAGCTTCACTTCCTGTGTGCAAATAGGATAAAAACAGCAACAACCGAAGGGACGACGGTAAAAGACAAAACAGGCCAATGAAGGAATAACAAAAAGTAAAACCATAATGTCTAATAGGCCAGAGAGAGGCTAAGACCCAGCCTCGCTTCCGAACAACAGTGGGAAAGTGCACCACCGCAAAAATCAAGGCAACCCGTTTCTAGCGAACTTGGCGTAATTACTTCCTATTTCTGGGTGTGAGTGTTCCATTTCTCAGACACGAAGGACTATGCCTCTGCAAGTTTAAGATGAACAAGTGAGCCAACGAATGCTCTCGTGCTCCGTAAAAAGTAAAGCGCTACCAAAAAGAAAAAAATTAACTTTGCCATCGGGAGAGATACCAAGCAGCCTTGGTGGTGACAGCAGGAGAGAGAACTCGCTGTTCCACTGGCCTCGCCGGCTAGGCTATTCTCCACCCTCCCGGTCCCAACCCCCGCAAGTTACGAGGCGTGAGGCCGGTGACACGGCAGAGAACGCCGGCTCGGGGGCAGGGACGAGGGCCGTGGCTCACCTGAACACACTGTTGGTAGCGCTTGAAGAGCTCGGTGCACGGGTCCGCGGAGGTGTCCCCCTTGAGGAACTTCTCGGCAAACCAGCGATTAAAGCACTGATCATACTCGCGCTTCATGTCAGTGCATCCCTCCCCTACGCTGTTCATGGCGGCGACAGTGGCGGCGCACTGATGTCATCATTCTTAGGCCTGTCGCTCGGCTGACGTAGATCACGGTACGGAGGCCGAGTAGGGCAGAAATGTGGGCGCGGGCTGCGCGGCTGGTCCTTCGGTCCCGGGTGAGCGGACGCCGGGGTTTCACTTCCAAGGCAGATCCTCAGGTAAAGGCCAGGAGGTAGGGGGTGTCTGCGCGGGTGGTGAAGCGGCTAGGGAGGTCGAGCAGGCCCCAACCCACTCGTGACTCACACCCTCTTTCATCCGCCTCCTTCCCCAGGGAAGTGGGCGAATCACCGCCGAGGTGATCGAGCACCTGGAGCGTCTAGCGCTCGTGGACTTCGGCAGCCAAGAGGCCGTGGCACGGCTGGAGACAGCCATCTCCTTTGCCGACCGGCTCCGCGCCGTGAACACGGACGGGGTGGAGCCCATGGAATCAGTTCTGGAGGACAGGTAAGGTCGTGGCTGCGGCCCCAGAGCCTTGCCCGTGGCGCCTTGGCGGCCACTTAAGGTGGCGATTAGTGTCTCATTTCACAGAAGGAGAAAGAGCTTTAGGCGAGGTGCAGGAACTTGCCCACGATCACCCCCTGGGTAAGTGGTTTCACTCTCGTCCCTGTTCATTATGTGTTCTATAGCTCTCGTTTAAATTCCTCAAGGCCTCCCAGTGCAACGAGGAACAAAATCCTAACTGCTTATCATCCTCGAGGCTCTGCTTCCCAGAACCCCTGCCTCCGACTCGAACAAACTGCTTTTATCAGTCTGGCCACATCGGCTTCATAACTGTCTCTCCAACATCCCATGTTAGTTCCTTCTCTAGGATCCTTGCACATGCTATTCCTTTTTTCTTGGACAAACACCTGTGTCCTCTGAAGGGCCTTTTCTGACCACTGCAAATCCCCAATTCCCCTTCCTTAGCCTGTTGGGTTTTTTCCAGATATTTTTCTTGGCTTATTTTTGCTGATTTGTATGTCTCTTTTTATTAGGATGAGTTCAGGTATGATTCGCTTGCTGTTGGATTCCTGTCTCAACTTTTTATTTTTCAAAATTTTAAATGTACATATTTTCTGATCTAGTGGTTCCTTATGGAAATATCTGTGAAAGTGTATCAAGATGTGTGTACAAAGTGTCCAGAATATGTAAATCTGTTCATAGTAAAAAACCGAAAACCCAGAAACAATTTAAGTGTCCTTCGTGGCTAAATACACTATCATATAATACAATAGACTATTCAGCAGTTGTTAAAAATAATGAAACAAATACCTATATTTGCTGATATGGAGAGGTCATTAAGATATATTCAATAAAAAAGGCAAAGTTCAGAACATTGTGTACAGTATTATTGGCGCTTTATGTGTAATCTGTTGTACATATTCTGGTGTATGCATTAAGTTTTCTTTTGTTTCCTGAAAAGGCATGCAAGAAACGGTTAACAGCGATTAGTTTCAAAGAAAGTGGGAATGCAGAGGGAAGTTTTAACTTTTCATTTTATACCAAGGGCCAAAACACACATGCCCAAGGGGGCAGAAGAATAACGCAAGTAGTGAAATGTAGTGTAATGCAATATGGAGCAGGGGGCTCTTTGACAAACTAGCTTGACTACTAAAGGGCACAGCCTCTACCCACCTCTACCAATTAATTGTTGCCTAATATTAATACATTTTCCTTTTAAATAAAATGCTCTTTTCTGAAAAGCAGACTTGTTTGCTATCTGGCACTGTAGATTTTTAGTTAGAATAGATATGTTGCTCATAAAAATAGGGGTAATCTGCAACTGTCCTAGACTTTGCCTGATGGAATTAAAAAAAAATAAACGAGTACAGGTGGGGACAAATTGCTCAGTGCCATTAATCAGCACCAATATGGAAAGCTAGACCTATCTGTAACCATAACTTTTATGTGAACTGTTTGCTAGCTTCCTGTTCTGAACTCATCTTCAATTCCTTCAAAGCTTTTCTCTATTTTGTATTTTGATGCTCAGGTCTAGAGTTTAACTAATCTGCCCGAAGTTACACAGCATTGCAGAACAGAAATCTGGTGTCATTCTCCTACCCAAATACTTCTCAGGTGGGCTTAGCTTAAAAACAAAAGCTTCACCTCAGCAGGCAGGGCTTCATTTAACCTAGGTCCTGGCCACCTCTTCTAGACAGTGCTGTCGCTTTCAATTTCTCTACCTCCTCATTCTTTTCTTCTTCTTTAAGGTCCTTGTCTTTACTCGTCCCCCCAACTCCTCTTTTTTGCCTTCTTTCTTCAGATCTCAAACTGCCACCTCCTCAGCACCTGTGGCTCTCTCATGATTTTCAATAATGCTGGAATTTTACGCGTATTTCGTATATCTATTTGAGTGATACTGCATTCTCTGCCTTTCCACTCTCATTCATCCACCTTCCAGGGACCACATTTGTTATTATTCATCATGCTCTCAGTACCTAGCGCTGAGCAGAAACACTCAGTAAATGTTTGTTGACTCTTCCTTACTAACATCTTTGGCAAAGTAGGGAATGGAGAGTTAGAATTTCCCAAGTCATCTAGAGGGTAACTAAAGAAATGGAACTATTATTACTCGGAAGAGAGTTTGTGGAAAAGATTAAGAGGATTTGGATCTGATAGCTGGAATAGTGACTTGGTATTCAGTGATCTGCAGTCTTGCCATAAATTTAGAAACCAGTTTGGCTTAATGTTTCCATTTTAGAGCTTTGACATTGGTAGGACTTTCATGTTTTGAACATGCTGGCTATCATTTGGTTTGAACTAAAAAGCATTAGCCTGTTTATGTATCAGGCACTAATATTATATGCATCAACTCAGTTATCACATACAACCCTGGAAGGGAAATACTAGTATCTCTTTTACAGATGAAGAAGCTGAGGGTCACAAAGGTTATGTAACATGTCTCAAAGTTTCACAGGGAGTAAGAGATTTCAAGGTTTGGAACCCAGAGCCTTACCACTTTAAATATGACATCTAAAGTCAACCCCTGGAAACCTCATCCTCTCATCTCAAATCCAGAGACTGACTCAGGTGATGTCTCTGATTGCAGTCAAATATTTTAATGCTAGGGTGTCCCTCACAACCTTACTTGAACCAAAAACTTTTAAGTCAAAATGATTAGCATGAGACTAGAAAAGGTTAGGCAGGAAGAGAGGCAGCTTGTAGGTGATGGAAATAAGGTGGTGTCCAGAGAGATGACTCCTGGCAGCCCGATACCAGGGAAGGGCAGAAACTACAACAGCACAGTTGTCCTACTGTCAGTCCAAGGGCCAGCATGCCACCTTTCTTCCCCTCATGCTGCTGTACTGATTTATATTAAATTAAATGCTTTTTATTGTATTTGCATTCCCCACAGTTACTAGTTTAAATATCTATGAGCTTTTGAGGGCAGGGATTTCTAGTTCACAGGTGAAACCTCTGTCAGGACTCATCTGAACCAGAACACAGAAAGGTCCAAGTGACTCCTCTCAATTCTCTCAGGGATAGTTCCTAAGTAATAATAGACCAGATTTATAGTTGACTGTAAAAATGGGTGTCTTACCCCTGGGCTAAATTCTCTTGTAGAACTTGGACTGAGAAAGGCAAGGTGAGGTAGGCATTTAGTCCATCAGTGATTCACAGACACCTAAAAGAGTTTATCAGTTCCTGTTTGGTGTTTTATGCAGGACTCCGAGGTCAAGCACAGTTAAGCGACTTGCCAAGTGAGGGGTCTGCGTGGTGTGCCACTCTCACAGAGACCCTGGGTTCAGTAGCCTGTGATGAAGAAAACAGGGATGTGTGCGTTTATTCTAGAAACGGCTTCATCATAAATAAAAATTAGGTGGAAATGTGTGATTATTTCAAGGGGTGAATTTTGTTTTTCTGGAAATGTCACACAGGAATCCTGATTACCAAATGAGTAAATAAATCAGGTGCTATTACATCAGCTGTTGGGAAGCAGTTATCTTTTAACCTGTTGGTGGTAGTCGTCTTCATTGAAATCTCCACAGCCAAGAAAAACTAGCATCCTTCCAGTCTGTAGGGACTAGGCAGGTTAAGCATGATTATGGCAGTTAAGTGCCAGTTACACTCTGAATGAGTAGTTGGAACTTGGGTTGTGCTGACTCTAAAATGGAGCAGGTGCTATGCAGCGCCCACCTCTTACTGACGCGATCGTCTTTTTCTTTAACATTATTTAAATCTTCCCAGCAACTCTATGAAGCACTCTACAAATAAGGAAACTGACGCAAGGAGAGGGAAAGTAATCTGCACACAGCCCTGGCCAGGTAGCTCACTTGTCTTGATACGCCAAGGTTGCAGGTTTGATTCCCCAGTCAGGGCACGTACAAGAATCAGTGTTCCTCTGTTTCTATCTCCCTCCCTCCCTCTAAAGTCAATTTAAAAAAATTTTTTAAAGTAATTTGCACACATGTCCCCTGAAGGTGGCTGTGGCAAAAATACTCATCACTGGGGTTTGAATTTGGCTGTGGTTCAGGAGCCCAAGCTCTTATCCATTTTGTTACACTGCCCAACAGAAATACAAACTCCAGAAAGTCCAATGGTTACCTTTATGGATGATATTTATTTTTGTTCTCCAAGTTTTTTTTAAACAAACACATAAGCCTTGTATGACTAACAATAAAAGAAAGAAAAAAACCAAAACGCTAGTGCAACCTTCACTTTTTTGTCAAGAAACCTAAGGTCTGGAAAGCACACGGTTGTTCAAGACCAGTTAAGACAGTGCCAGATCTTGGAATGGACTCCAGCTGTCCCCTCTTCATATTTAACTGTGTTTAGCTTTAGGTGGGGTGCCACACAAAAACCCCCCACCCTGTTCCTTTCTTACAACTTAGCTGTCTTCGCAGCCTCTGCCCAGGTGTTCATGTCACAGCCTCCCCGTCTTTGTCCCATTAGGTTTAGCCCTAGGTCTGTGTTGGCTCAAAGCAGAAATAGTTTGGCTGCTCCCCTCTCAGTGACTGAACAGGCTGCTTACTTTTCAGCCCAAATTGTCTGCAAGCAGGCTCAGGCCTCCTGTCATGCACTCTTAACCCTTGAGACAGTAGTGAAGCCTCACAGGTGTGTTCAGCTCCTGTTTGGTTTCACTAGTTTGCCATCTGGATACTTTAATGAAGCCATTAGGCCAGAAGAGTGGGAGATTCCTGAACTGTTTGTGGTATATTTTGCAAGGAAGGGACTTTTATCTCCACAAAGATGGCTGCAGTGAAAAAAGCACTTAAGAGTACGAGAACTTGGTGTAGATCAGTTTTATTGCCGAGGGGCCAGTACCCTTAAGTCACGTATAGCCACTCTTGAGCAAGTTACCTGCCAGCAAGTCCATTTCCCATCCTCCCAACCTAGCTACTTTTTGCCCATTCTTTAGCAGTGACATTGCTTATTCTGGGTACTTTTCTTTACCAAGGTTGTCAGTTGTCCCTCTACTCCCTTGGCAAGCTGTGCTTACCTTTTAGATTTAACACATTGTTTTTAAATTGCCTTCAATCACCTATTTCCACCAAAAGCAACTTACCCTTAGTAATTATCCAAAAATTCTTAAACATATCAATCCTGAGGAATAATAGCCACTTACCGCACAGGGTTATTGGGAGACTTACAGACTATAATTTGATCTAATGTTGACCACAGATCCTCCTCCACCTTTGAGCACTAACCAGAACTCAAGAATATGCTGCTCCCTTGCTCTCCCACTCTTGACCCTCTCCACCCATGCCTTAGAAGTCCTGTCCTCCAATAAGGTAACCTTAAGCTTCTGGTTTTGTAGGTGTCTTTACTTGAGATACGACAATGTGGTAGAAGGCAACTGTGCTGAAGAACTACTACAAAACTCCCGTCGAGTCATGGAGGAGTATTTTGTGGCCCCCCCAGGTACGTTTTTCCTAAAGTGGTTTAACAAAATTTTTCCACAGTAAACTAAGAACATAGCAGGGATTGTGGGGCCCAAATGTGTTATGTGAAAGCACTCTGAAAAGTGTAAATTGGGAATTAGATGAAGGTAGTCAAAAGGTGCAAATTTCAAGTTACAAGGTGTGTCCTGGGGATGTAATGTACATGACTAGAGTTAACAATACTGTATTGTATATTTGAAAGCTGCTGAGAGATCTTAAAAGTTCTCATAAGAAAAAAAATGTTCTGTGAGGTAATGGGTATTAAAAAATCTTATTGTGGTAATTGGCAATATATACATATATGAGATCATTATGTTGTACACTTTAAATTTATACAATGTTATATGTCGGCTGTATTTCAGCAAATCTGAAAATACACATTTATTAACAATTTTAAAAAGTATAAAGTGCATATTGGTGGGGCAGTAGAGTCTAAGGGTCATGCTTATCTCTAGGGGCCAGTGGGTAACAAGAAAGAGCAAACAGAACTGGGGCAGAGAGGTGTGTACAGCAGCAAATCTGGAGGTCAGTCTCTTAGGGACAATTGGCATTCGCCACTTCTCACTCAGTGTGTGCCAGGCAGGAATGTGAGCCCATTTTTCCCGAGAACGTGGACATTTGGCATATTGTGTGGCACTTCCCAAATTTTAAGTACTGGCAACTAATTCAAAATTTAAAAAAATAAGACCATGCAAATAAAACATACCTGCAAGCCAGATGCATCCTGTGGGCCATCAGTTTGCAACTTTAAACCTCACTGCAACTATTTTAAATGAATGCTCTAAAACAATTCTAAGCCAAAAATAAAATCCAGAACCTTGGGTGGGTTAAATTGCTCTTATCTCCTCTATAGGTAAGTGGGTCCTTGGAGCTTCTGCCAACCTCTAGATATTTGGGGATGGGACTAGCCTAAGCACTCAGGTAGATGGCTTTCCAAGTGCCAACTTCAAGTTCAGGAGATCCACTCAGAGGACCTTTTTGAACAACCTCCAGAGACAGATGTCAGCCCTCCAGCTCAGGGGTTACCTCTTTGATCAAGGCCAACCAGATAAAGGAAAGCTCTAGTTGAAGCAAGGATGGGAAGGAAAGCTAAAAAAACTTGTGAACTCTACTCTTAACCATGCCTCTGATTCACTAAACCACGTCACCTAACTGTGCAGAGAAATGATTTTATAATCTATCTCAGAGCCAGATGGTTGTCACTGTTTCAACAGATATATCCATTGATCAGATGCTATTTCTAAATGGAACCTTGTGTCAAGTTTTGCTGCTTAGGACAAAGTGAGTTCACAATCATAGTCTTCCTTCTACTCCTGTATGCATATAAATAGCTAATTAACCCACTTCCACTCCTTTCTGAAAAGCACATTAATTAGGTTTCACTTACAACTGTGATTCTTTCAGATACTCATAGTGAGAAAAACAGGATGGTAGCTACACTTATTTCCTTTGCTTATTTTCCATGACAAACCAAGTGATAAGTTAGCTCAGTAGAGCCAGCAGGGCACCACACTCAGCTATAACATTCTTTTTCGTTATTATTTTCAAACAGGTAACATCCCTTTGCCAAAGCTGGATGAACAAGAGCCCTTCTCACAGAGCTGAGTAGCTATTCCAGGAAGGGGTATCCTGTGAACACATGGAAGCATCATAGTATTGTTATTATGAACACTAAAGTTCCCACTTCCTTCAGTAACCTGAAAAAAATTGATGGTTAAGTATTTTTTTTTAAGTAACCAACTCTTCTGAAAACAGACCTGGGAAAGATTTAGCCAAAACAAGGCAATGAGTTCCTGACACTATTGGAAGTAAAAGGTACTGTCAATTTCCAAGGAAATATTCAGTTTGGAAGATATCACTTGCCTTTATGTCCTCCCACAAAGACTGTCTACCCAACTTCACTTAAATGAATTTTTCTATTTATGTAACTTTTAGACATTGCATCTGATCACACCATGTGACAACCTGAGCTGTCCTTTTTAGTTGCTATTTCCATAGACCTGAGCAATATTTTTTCTTTACTTAACATACCTGAATTTGTTCCTGGGTACCCACTTTGTTTCGAACAGAGGGCTAACTTTTTGCTAAGGTCTGAAGAGTGTTCAAAGTAGACTATAACTTTGGTACTCCTGGACCTAGAACCATCTACCACCCCACAAAGTGATTATAGGCAAAAGGTGTAGCCACACCTACAGTTTCTTTCTGAAGAGAATTTATAAAAATACTTCTGGAATAGCTAACAATACTTATTGTATATTAAAAACATGCTAAGAGTGTAGATCTTATGTTAAATGTTCTTACCACATATGGGATAGGTATGTTTATGGCCTTGATGGTGGTAGTTTCATGGATGTACACTTAATCCCAAACTCATTAAGTTGTATATATTAAACACAGTTTACATGTTGATCATAGTCCAATAAAGTGTTTTTTTGGTTTGTTTAGTTTTTTAAATATAGCCCTAAGCCTGGGACAAAGTAGACCCCGACCCCCATGATCACTGAATTGAACAGAACCCAAGATGATGCGGGCCAGGAGGGAGGCTGTATTTCAGGTGTTTGTTTTTGTTTTGATTTGTTTTTAAGCTCACATAGCTCACAGAGAATGAACTGGTGGTTGCGGGGAGAGGCGGCAGTTTGGGGACTGGGTAAAAAGGTGATGGCATTAAGAAGTATTAATTGGTAGTTACAAAATAGGGGATGTAAAAGTACAGGATAGGGAATCTAGTCAATAATATAATAACTATGTATGGTGCCAGGTGCATACTGGAAATATCAGGGGAACACTTTGTAGAAAGTATATGATTATTTAACCACTATGCTCTACACCCAAAACCAATACAAAATAATACTGGAAGTAAACTCTAATTGGGGAAAAAAAAAGAAAGAAAGAAAGAAAACCCATGTAGCAAGGATAAATGAGACAGATTTAGAAAAGTGATAAAACCAAACCTTACAAATCTTTTCTTTCCTAACCAAACTGCCGAAGTTGACTTAGGCTAAGAATTTCCCAATGATCTTTATGCTACTGCCCATTTATAAAAGTCTGTTTTTATTCTTCCCATTCCCTGCCCTATTGGCAATGCTCACTTTTTTTTTTTTTTTAAAAGCAGCTTAATTTACAAGCTTGGTCTTGAGCTGTAAAAGAGTCCTGAACCTGAGTTCTCGAACGACCCTAAGAGTAACGAACTTTATCTGCAAATAAAGTTATCCACTCTTGCTCCTTACCGACTGGGTGTAAGGTGTCACTACAATTCAGTGATGTGTATTTTTTTAATCAGTGTGCCTGTTTGGTGAATCTATGAACTTAATCAAGGACAACCACACATGTCAATTACTAAACGTTTAAAATATATTTCTAAACAGAATGGGCCCACTCAGTCACAGTAACTGCTGATCTCATAGCAGAGCAACCCACAAAGACACAGCATTGATTTTTTTCTCCCCATAATCAGGGGTGAAAAATATACAAGTTGTTTCTGAACCAAAACCACAATTTCTGCAGCTGAAAATGTTTCACTGCTAATATGGCCCTGGTAGAAATTATGTAGTTTTTTTTCCTTAAAAAAAAATTAAAAAAATTTCCTAAGACGCTAAATCATCAATCTGGAATGTAAATTCTGAGCATAAAGCAGCTCAGTTTGCCTAAAAAATAAAGAAAAAGTTCCCATCACCTGTTTCAGTAGGGCCTGAAAGGAGAGAAGTAGTGTGGGGAACCCCTGCTTTGGTATGGAGAGTCACGGCCTCTTGACCCAGACCGAGACCGTGAATAGCCATAGCTGGTGCTTCTCTCTGGATAAACTCGGATGTAGGAAGTTTCACCCTGAAATTCAAACAAAAAGGGGAAAATTAAGACCCAGAAGAATAAAGCACACCAACACGTAGGATAGCTGTTTAACAATAATAGTTACGTACTGAGCACTAACTATTTGCCTGGCACGATGTTATCTCGTCAAGCCCTCACAATTCTAAGAGGTAGGTATTCTTACTAGTCCATTGCAAGAATGCTATCAGCTCTGAATGGTGTGGCTCGGTTGGGCACCATTCCACAAAGCGAAAGGCTGCCAGTTAAATTCAATCAGGGCACATGCCTAGGCTGTGGGTTCAGCCTCTGGTCAGGGCATGTGCAAAAGGCAACCGATGTTTTACCATATCTGAATTATTGCCACTAACCCCTAGAATCTAAGGACTGGAAAGGATCTCTGAGATCGATCTCTCTCTCTCTCTCTCTCTCTCTCACACACACACACACACACACACACAGGCAAAAGCAGGTTTACAGTTGTTCGTATGGAAAATACGGTAACACAAGAATACATCTGTGTTTTACATACAACTCTAAACCTATGTTTGCCCCACCCTTTATAGTTTACCCCCCTGCCTCCTCTTACGCATCTTTCAATGGGCACCTATGGAAGGAGTTAACCTATACTCAGCATCTCCCAGGTGTCAGAACCTGGGCTAAATGCTCTGGTTATTTTCATGATTTATTTTCCTGGCAAGTCTTATAAGACAGTGCTCTTATGGTGACTATTTTGCACGTGGAAGAACCAAGGTTGACAGTTCAGCTAAGCAGCAGGAGTCATGTTTAGGCTGGCCTTTATCCAGGCCCTTTGCCTTCAGCCAGCATTTTCAGATCTAAAGATGCTAAAATGAAATAAGCCAGATGCTTTCCCCCCAGGTGATGTCAGTAATTGGATCTACTCTGAAGCTCTACTTTGCAGTGCATCTGACCAGGTGCTGTTTTGTTTCTGCTCCAAATTCAAGTCCCAGGGGTTACTCTGGGCAAAAGCCTTGTTAAGCCATACAGCCTCCAAGCCATAAAATAGGGAATATATGAATCCTTAGAAAAAGAAATGGGCCTAAATATTTGTGTCCCAAGACGCCCCTAAACCACATACAAAGTCAGGACAAGACAACCAGGAAAACAACAATGTCCAGCTGGTAGCCTAGTATCTAGTGGTATCAAAGGGACAGTCAGAATCAGACTGAGATATCCAAAGGAGCAGCTGCCTTCTTGAAAGGAAGGGCACTGATAACTAAGTCCCAGGGACGAGGTGATTAACCTCAAGAAAATAACAAGGTGGCACAGGTTGCAAAAAGGATCCTGCACTACTGGTGAAGGGACAACTCAGCCCCAACAGCAGTACCTAGAGGCTGAGGTGATGAGGTTGGCTTGCAGAGCCCATGCTAGACCAAGAGGAGGGACAGCCATAATATTTAGGTTCACTGAGAGACACTGCCAGTTACAAAAGGGATGCTATCACAATAGCTCACCACAATATGACAGACTGCACCAGTATTCTCTCCAGGTTAAAAATACTATGGCTGCAGACTTCTCTCTACTAGGACCCTGCAGGTCTTAATCATGTTGAATTCCTTGGTTGTGTCCACTTAAGATAAATCTTCAATGGTATTATAAGGTCATCAAATGGCAAAGGCATGGCCTGTTGCTACTTCTGCTAGGTCAGCTTCAGGTGCAGTGGACTGGTACAAGCTCCCCCACAGAAGGTGGGGACCCACCTCATGAGAACGGAATTTGGTGTCATCCAGTTTACGCAGGGCATATTCCATGTCTTCTTTTCTGAGATACTCAACCATCCCCATTCCATCCTTCTGTACATCTGCATAACAGACGTCCCCAGCTTCTCGCATGTGATCCTTCAGGTCCTGCCAGCTTCCTGAGGGAGGAAGTCCTGGGCATGGGGAACATAAGAGAAGAGGCCACATCCTTCAGCCATGTTAACTGCCCTGTTTAGAGCCAGCAATACCTGGGGTCCCTTCTCCATCAATCACTACTTTAAAATCCTGAGGGCCCCCAAATCACGAATCTTGACAAGGAACACGAAACTAGAGAAGAGCACTGAAGTATGTGTAGTAAACCACCTTAAGAAAACTGGTCCTAAGCCAATCTTCCAGAACAAGCCTTTCCAACACAGCAAGTCCATCTCATTACATGTTTAGCATCTCTTAAGAATTCACAGCCTCTCTTTCTTTGTCCTTCATAATACATACCTAACTCTCCAGACTTTGGGTTCTTTTTACCACATGAAATTTATCAGTACCACTGATTTCTTGCCTAGATTCCCAAAACATGGGAATTTGAAGCCATCCAATGAAATAACCAAAGTGTAGCAGAAGGTAACAACACAATAAAAATCTAAAGTTTGTTAGCTTTTTTGTAGGCTTGATTAACTGACAAACTAGACAATGTACCTCTTGAAAGATCACCATTATTTTCCAATACAGTGGGCGAAAAGGTAAGACTCAGATGCTAAAACTAATCAGGAGTAATACAATTCTACCTGATGTCATGAAAGGGAAATGTGCTCCTGCTCTCAAAGGCTGTGTTTACCGTTCACAGCTCAGGACTGCAGCCATTTCCTAATAGTTTTCTAAGCAGGATTTCAGAGCAGCATGGAGAGAGGAAAAAATATATATGACACCCTGAAGGAGTGACTAGAGTTCTGGAGTTAAAAAAATTACAAAAGGACACAAAGATAAGCAGATCTTGGCAGTATCACTCTGAAGCATCAATGGGAGTCCGCTGTGACTGTGATATATCTAAGTAGGTGCCAGGCTCCTTAAGACATTTCTCTCTACCAGGACCCTAAAACACCCCTGGACGTACAAAAGCCCCTGGGGCTTTACCAGTATGTTAATATTTCAGAAGATGCATAAACCTCAGGGCTTATCATTTCATCACTGATCAACACTAGACATTTGGTTCTATACTTTGTAATACCATCCCTAGGCTGCCAACTTGTTTTTTTTTTCCTTTTTTTACATGCCCAAAAGCACAAAAGCTGGCCTTTTTCAGGATCCAAGGTTGGTTAAGTTGTTTAAATCTAGCTCCTAGAATGTCTTTTCTGTCAAGTCCAATACCATGGAACATTCCAAAAGAAAACATCTTTAGAATTCCAGCTCAGGGATTTTGCCATTGTTTTCATTTTCAACACTAGAAAACTCCTTTATAAGAAACAAGTTTGTTACAACAAGGTTGCACTACCTACCAGTGCAATTTCATTTGCAAGATGCCTGCCTCATTGGCAAGACAGGGCAGAGCTTTAGACTGTCAGTGTGCACAGGCTATGGAAAAGAAAGCCCCATGTAAGCTATGCTTTGAAGAATAACAGCTAATATTTCTTGAAGGCCAGACTGTACTAAGTATTTTACATTCATCATCTCATTCGGTTTTTCAAAGGAACATACCTGAAACAAGAACTCGGAAATCAGATCTTCTTGTAGGAGGCCCATTCCTTCCACCACGGGGCCACCCACCACGACCCCCATAAGTCCTGGGGAACTCCACACGAAGTCGACACTGGCCATAATCGTAACCATTCCTTCCATAAATGGCATCCTCAGCATCTCTGCAAAGAAAAGTATGGCATCAGGTCTGCTCAGGAGGCTGAATGACTTCCCAGTGAAGGGCATGAGTAACCAGTATCAAAGGAAAACCTAGACTGAGAAAAATAAACAGAACCTTGATGCAATACTGCTCTGGTCTGAAGACCTTACATGATATTGTAATTAAACTTTACAGCTGTCACATACAGAGTTTTCTAGGTATGAAATGATAATGAGTTAACAGATTACTTATAGGAGGGCTAATTCAGAAACAAAAAGGAATAAATTAACAGATGACTGGTTTTACAAAAAACAAACAAACAAACAAACAGTGCTTCTCTAACTTTGGTGGACAGTTTCTCAAAATGCATACCACACATCAGTCCTTTAATATTCTTCGAGAAGGCCTAAGTACCATCATGTCTCTAGAAAGAAAAACTCATGTAAGGAGGCTCAAAACACAAATGCAACTTATTTTGTGGGACTATAAAACTCTCTCAAGAATGTTTTCAGCATGATTTGGAGAAGTTGTCAAAACCACTATCTGGGTAAAATTTCACCAAAAAAAGATAAAATTTCTTTTAGTCTTTCCTAGGGCTCTAGGAGACATAAAAATGCCAGTTGATTCTCCAGTACTGGATGGGAGAAAGAATGAGTTGGATGGACAAGCAGAGCTGAAGATATTTTAATGAAAGCATCATTCAGTTGTCATAGGCACATTCATTTATCAAGATTTTAGTCACAGGATTGAAAGCAAGGAGGACCACATCCAGTGGAACCCTGGCTATATTTATAAGGCAGTGAGAGAGGCAGAGCTTTAAAGCAAACTTTGAATAAAAATTGACTTCAGTTCAAATCATTCTTCTGCTCTTCACTGGCAGCTGTCTCTGGATAAGTCAGTCAAGTTTTCCTCTCTCTCAGTGTAACTAATGTCATTCTCACAGGGTTACTATTAGGATTAAATAACATACTGTGTGTGCAGTGCTTCGCTTGAAACTTGGAATCTAGTGATATCAAATGATAGCTTTTCTATTATTAAAAAAAATGAGGGCCCTGGCTGGTGTGACTCAGTGGACTGAGCACCTGTGAACCGAAGGGTGGCCCTTTCAATTCCCAGTCAGGGCACCGCGGGTTGGAGGCCAGGTCCCCAGTTAGGAGCCTAAAAAAAGCAACCAATCGGTTTCTCTCACGTATCAGTGTTTCTCTCCCTCTCTTTCTCCCTCCCTTCCCCCGTTTATAAAAATATATAAATAAAATCTTAAAAAAAAAAGAAAAATGAGGTAGGAGATAACAATGTAAATAAGGTTGTCTGTTAAAAAGGCAGAATAAGGGGTTCAAATCCTACTTTCACTCCTGATCCCTTTTACCAACTCTAAGTCCTCAGTTTCCTCATCTGTAAACCGTGACTAACAATACCTACCCTCAAAGGCTGACAATGCTAAATAAGACGTAGCACGGTACGTCTTATTTATATATTTATGTAAGAGACACACAGGGACTGCTCAAAAGCCACACCGGAAGTGTTACTACAACAGAGGCGCAACCTTCTCCAGTGTAGATGAGAAAATGCCCAGTTCCATTTTTTTGAGGCAAATGGCAACCAACGCCTCAGGGTACTGCCGGCCTCCCCAGCCTCCAACGCTCCCTCGGCCCCGCAGCACCACACCAGGGAGAAAAGACAGCGAAGCCCGCAGGGCACTGGCTGGGTCAGCGTCCCGAGGCCCTGCCGGAAAACAGAGAATGGGCTCCAACTCACCCCGAGGCTGGGGAACCCGCACAGCGGGGTGGCTTCTAAGAACCACCAACCGCAGTTTTGAAAGTTCCTAAGTCTTTTCCGGGCCGGTCCGACAATGTTTGCAAAATTACAAAGACCCCTTTGGGCCGGTTTAGGGGCAGAGAACTTCCAAGTCCTTGTGTCGCTTAGCATTTAGCAGTGCCTCCCTCATTATAGGAGAGGAGTGAACTCAGAGGACTCCCCCCCAGCCTGTTTCAGGAGTTTTTCCAAATCCCCGACGCTTTTAGAAGAAAGAGGCCCTGGCCCTGTGGGGCGGGGCGCGCGCAGACCGAGATGTGTTCCACCACAGAGACCCCTTTTACAACGTCCAAAGGCATTACAGCCCCGCAGTCTGTGTCCCCCTAGATGTTGAGTTCCAGCGGGGCGGGGGGAGGGCGGCGGAGGGTGAGCGGGAGGGGACGCGACTGGAGACTCCCGCTCTTCACCGAGTCCTCTCCGGCTGGTTCAAGGGCCAAGGTCTCCGAGCCCTGGGCCGCTTCCCCCTCAGGGTGCCTCTCCAGCCGTGAGGAAGAGAATGATCCCTTGTACCATCCCTGAGGTCGGCTGAGGCGGGTTTGGGCCCTCCGAAGGCCGAGCTTTTGTTTTTTTAAGTAAACCAAAAATAACAACAATAATAATAATAGAGGAAGTGACGACGGCGCAAGGGACGGCCCGGAGCCTACAGTGAGAGGAGGCCACAGCCTCCACCCGGGGGCGCCGTGAGGGGTCTGCGCGGAGGGGGAGGGGAGGGGAGCGCCCGGAGGGGGAGGGGTAGCGGGAGGAGGGAAGGCGGCGGCTCAGGGCTGGCGGGAGGGTGGGTGGAGCGGGGCCTCACCGGGGGTCCTCGAAACGCACGAAGGCAAAGGGCACGAGGCCGTGCCGGTTCTTGAGCTCGATCTCGCGGATACGGCCGTACTTGTAGAACAGGTCCTCCAAGTCCTTCTCGCGCACGTCTGTAGGAAGGTTCCCCACGTAGATGCGCCCGTCGCCCTCGCCGCCGCGCTCGTCCGCCCAGCCCGACATCCGCACCGCCCGACGCCGCGGGCCCGCCGCAGCCCACGTCGCCGCCGCTGCCGCCGCTGCCGCCGCCTCCTCAGCCGGGGTTCCCCCGCAGCGTCCCCGCGGGCTCGCAGGCGCTCAGCCGCACAGCATTCTGGGAACGCGGAGCGGAAGCGAAAGGGTCGGAGGAGGCAGAAGGAATTCTCTTAAAGGGGACGCGGCCGCGAGGATTGCGCATGCGCGCGGGCCTTCGGTCCGTTTAGGTTCTAGCGGATCCCTGGTCACCAAAAGGGAGGTCGTGGAGTCCAGCTCATTGGGTTTGATTTCCGAAGGCAATTCGGTCACCAGTTGCGTGGAGTTGGGCAAGTGACTCAAGCTCCCTAGGCGTCAGTTTTCTGACTCTGTCGCGCCGCCTACCTCACAGACGTTTGTGAGCACTCACTCAGGTGATGCGGGTAAGCGCCCAGAGTGCGCCTCGCGAGCTGTCACTCAGCGTGCGGGGCCTCGGAAGGAGGGAGTCAGGCCGCTGGCTCAACTGGCTGCAGCAGAAAACGTCGCGGACGGCTGGGCTCGGCGGGGTCACAGCGGCCCTCAGCCTCAGGTCAGTAGCCCTCTGCACCATCCTGTCCCCATTTTACAATTGCTTAGAACTGAGGGTGTAAGATGGACAAAGATGGATGTAAGAGGGCTGAGAAGGACTCTGTAGCTTGGACTTGAAGCTCATTGGAGATAGGGAATGAAAGAATCATAACTTTGGCGACTCTCATTACAGAGTGCTTCTTACGTCTTGTGCTTTTAGTCCTTACCGAGAATTGGGGGAATTAGTCTCAGTTCATGAGAAACTGAGGTCTTACAGTGGGGGGTCAGGATTAGAACGCAGAGCCTGGCTCACAGCCTCTCTGCTGAGTCCTTCAGGGGCTCAGGTAGACTCCTACCTCGGCACTTTTTGCATTTACATCCCATAGTACAGGGCATTGAATCTGGGGACGTTACAGAAGTGAAGCCTTGCATCAGAAGAATCTTGATCTAAAAAGATTTGTCATATTAAAAATGAAATCTCTAGGGTAGATACAAGAAAGGAAATAAAGCAGAATGTTAACTATACAATCTAGACCAGTAGGAGTAATCAGTGTGTTCACAGAACCATTCTTTGTGTGTTTGAAAATTTTCATAATAAAATTTTGTGGGGAGGTATAAAACTTGTTAAAAATAAACTCTGTTAGCTTGGCCAGGTAGCTAGTTAAATTGATTAAAGCAGTCTCCAGATACACCAAGGTTGCAGGTTTGATTCCCGGTCAGGGCACATACACCACTCATCCAATGAATAACATAAATAAGTGGGACAACAAATCAATGTCTCTCTCCCACTCTCTAAAATCAATAAATAAAAAAAGTTTAAATGATTAAAAGAAACTCTGTTAATGCTAGCAATAGGAAGGGAATAAAACCAAATATTCTGAAGGTAGTTGACTTTAGTATACCACCTTTTAGTCTTTTTAAATCAAAACAAACAAAAAATTAGATACCCACACATAACTACTGAGTGTGTAACCTTTTTGGAAGGTAAGTTGAATGGCATACATCAGGCCCTGATAATATACATATACCTCTTAATCCAGTAATTCCACTTGCAGGATTTTATCATAAGGAAATAAGAAATCCTCACAATAAATTATTTATGTTCATTGTGTCCAGAAGAGGGAGACTTCCTCTACCGCTTCTTGAGTTCTAATGACCAGACCAGTAATAAAATTGACATAAGACCAGATTAACAGGAGAAAAACCAGTTTAATATGTGCACGTGGGAGGTCATAAATAATGATGCATCCGGAACGATGAACCAGCCAGCTTTTGTACTTTCTACACAATGAAACAGTAAATTTGTGAAGAAATGACAGGACAAGGACACTTAGGTTTTATGCTTATTACTGAGGAATCTAAACAAAATTTGGGCTTGGGTAGTAAATTAGTAAAGGAATAACAAGGTTTGTTTATGCAATTTTGGGCCGTGGATTCCTAAACTCTAGAGATATAGTATTTGTCTTAGCCGCCCCTACAGCAAGGAGGATACCTTTACAGGGGAGATTTATTCCTGTATTCAAGGCAACAAGGAAGGGTCAATGTACCCTCCATACACTGGCTGCTTATCAAGTAACTTTATTTTAAAATAGTTAACATTTTGAGATATTTTGGGGCAGCCTGCCCTGGGCCCCTACAATTGCATTCTGTGAAATTAAAAAAAAGTAAAACTCCTGATAATGAGGGAGTGGTTCAATGCAATGATAATGAATGTTACACAATTATTAAATGGTGTTTTGAAAGATATTAAGGTCACGCTAATTTAGTTAAAGTGAATTAGAAGTGTTTTATGCACACACATGCACAGAAGTATATGTTCAGAAGGAATCTAGTAAACTGGTTGACACCAGTTGTCCCTAAAGAATGCAATTGTGGGAAATTTCACTTTAGATGTCATACATTTCTGTAAAGTTGAAGATTGTTGTTTTGACTATGTTTCATTTTTGTATTTTGAAAAAACAAAAGGAATAAAATGTATGAATTATCCACTTTATACAATACTATCTCTCGCTCTCTCTGTAGTCATTGCTTATAACAAAACATGGAAGATAATATTCCAAATGTTTGTAGAGATATCTCTTGATGGAAATATTTATATTGTTATTTATGCTTTTCTGCATTTATCAAATTGTCTGTAATTGGCAGGTACTACTTTTTTAATTGAAATAAAACAATAAATTATTTCTAAAATAAAACAATCAGGACTATCTGTTGTATTCTGGATTGTATAAAGCTTCTAAAGCTCCTAGTTGTTATTCGCTGGCCTTTAGAAGACAAGCAGGAAAGAGCCCAGGGCAAATGTGATCTTGATTCTAAGTACACAGCCTTATAGGAGCTTAAAGGAATCCTAATGTCGACAGGCCTCCTTATTTGGTCGTGTATTAACAGTACCTTCTGAGTTCTACCACTCCTACATGATTGTTGCCAGGAAAGAAAAAAAGGAAAAAAAAAAAAACCTATTGGAGACAATTGGGTACTCTTCCCAGGGAGAGAGATAAATGGAATTGGCTAAGTGACCTAATAGGACTCTAGGTGGAAGACTGCCTGTGAATAGTAATGATTTAGCTTGTATTGTACACAGTCTTGCATACCTAATCTAGAACATGTGCCCAGATATGGGGATGTGGCAAGTATAGCCTTCCTGATTAGAAGGAACACAGCTCAATTGCTAGGAGGCATTTATAATCATCCATGGAACCACAAAGGTGGATTTTGTTTCTATGAGCTCGGGTACTAACTTTTGCAGGTTAGAACACAAGTGAGGCCAAAATTATTGCTTCATGCCCAAGGAGCGCATTCTCTGCTAAGGCCACAGACCCTAGGCAGGGATGCCCTTTTGAGCTTTTGCTCATCTAGTTATTCAGCATCATCAAGTGCATGTTATAATTCAGGCCCTATATGAGGCCAATGGTGTACATGTATTCAAGTTGCTATTCAGTCATTCGGAGCACAGTTGGGTCCGCTGCTGTGAGACCCTGTAATGCAGTCTTAGAGGTTATAAGAAAGGCCTCCAGAAGTACATGTTCAGGTTGAGCCCTGAAAGGCCAGTGGAATTAACCATAGGGAAGAAGGGAAGGGCTTTTCAGGCAAAAAGAACTGCGTGATGATTGACCAGATAGAAGAGAGCACAGCAGACCAGGGACAATTCCCACTGCCCTACAATATGGCTAGGGCAAGTTTAAGCGGGGAGAAGGAACTGAGGCTGGGGCTTCAAGGCCTAGTAGGCCATTTTATGGAGTTTAGGCTCCTACTGAGGGCAGTGAGTAACCACTGAAGAATTTTAAGGAATTGTGTTGGGATGAGAACTCCATAGAGGCGATATGGGAGTTGGGGAGGAGACTGAGAGCTAATTTTACTAGAGGGCAGCCTATAGGACAGTAGAAGAAAGGAGAAGTGAGGTGAGACATGTGGCAGTAGCTGCCATTAGGAGGGAACTTAGGGAAAGAGGAGAGATGATTAAGAGGTCAGTGTAGGAAGTATTTCTGTTTAATTGCAGTGTAAAGCCCCTCCTGTGACTTCATAGATTGCTTTGTTAAAACCACATTGCCCACTAATAGCCCTGGCTGGTGTGGCTCAGTGGGTTGAGTGCTAGCCTGCGAACCTAAAGGTTGCCAGTTTGAGTCCCAGTCAGGGCACATGCCTGAGTTGTGGGCCAGGTCCCCAGTTGGCAGTGTGCGAGAGGCCGCCAACTGATGTTTCCCTTGCATATCCATGTTTCTCTCCCTCTCTGTCTCTCTCTAAAAATAAATAAATAAAATCTTTTTTTTTTAACTACATTATCCATGAATGATTTTGGAGTTGAAGTATTGTTCTCAGAAGATAGACAGTGTGTTCAGATTAGCCCAAAGGTGAGTATAGGTAAGAACAGGAATAGCCCCAGATGGCCCATGGACTAGCAGGTTACACAAGAAAATAGCATGGGAGTGGGTGCTGGGATACTCTAGCTAGGAGACCACTGCAATCACCCAAGCAAGAGGTGCCAGTGACCTGATGCAAGGTGATAAGAGATAGAGATACTAATGAGATTAGATATCCCAAGAAGATGCAGTCATAGGACTTGGACATACATTGGACGTGGAAGCAGAGGAAGGAGCAAAAATCCAGGTTGGTTCCTGGGTTCCTGGCATCGGGGCCTGGTTAGGCCGTGATAGCATTCTGAGATTAGGAACAACGCAGATGGAAATGATCTGCAGGGGATGGATGATGATAAGTTCAGGTATGTGTGGAGGACATGAGAAGGAAGGATAAGAAATGCGATGACTCTAGGCTTTATGTGCTGGAGACAGAATTCCAGGTGCATGACCTAATGATGGTGGATGGGCATTGGAGTCAGAGAAATGGGATGGGACTCTCCTTCCTGCAGAGATAAGCTTTCATTTAAAATTTAAGAGAGTTCAGTAAAATTAATCATTCCTAATAAGATGATAAGAGTGGCATCAATGGGCTCATCTTCAGAATGAAAAGAAGCCTTTGACCTTGGCAAACTGTTAAGAGTTAATGTATTTCCCACAGCAAGCTATTTACTCCCTGGAAGGGAGTTGGGCGGTGCCCAAGAAAAAAAATAGAACAATTAACAGTGGAGATAAAACATTCTCTGAACCTGCCCATCTGGTTTTCTCCCTTTCCCTATGACATCGAGTCCCCTCTGGCATTCCAGCAAAAGGATTTCTTCTCTGCCAGTCTCAGTCGTGACCCTGGCCATTGGGAGCAGTGGGCAGAAGAGGAAGTGATGGGAGTGGACCATCAGTGGGAAAATGAGTCATCTCGGAGAAACTAGTCCAGGCTGGCAGGGAGAGCCGTGGGCTGGGTCGCTGTGGAATGTGTTCCTGGGCACAGCACCTTGGGAGCTTTCTCTCTGTCCTTTGCCACTATATCTGTGTGATGGGCAAAAATAAAACATCTTCTGGAGAGCTACATAATAAAGAATTTGTTGTGCAGGGGAGGATGGGGAGCAGAGCAGAGCTAGAGGATTTGGGGAGACTTTGGAATGGGGGTGTGGAGACTTTAAGGAGGCAAATGCCA